GCGGCAGACTGTGTCTGCAAGACCGGGAAGGGACTGTGGAGACCATGTCATCCAGCAGGCCCAGAGCAGGACAGACATGTTCACGTTTATCAAGCTATCAGGTGCTACAGCTGGGACTAGAACCCAGAAGCCCAGCTTCCTGGCCCAGTACTCCTTCCCTTCTACCTGGCTGACAAGGAGCTGGACCATACCAGGTCATACTCCTTGGGGATCTTAAGCAGCAGAGTACGGTGTCCGTGGTTGCTGGACAGGATGAGGTTGACCTGCTGTGGGGGCCGCAGCTGGATAGTACGGAGCACAGAGAGCCCGCCGTCCATCACGCGGATCTGGCCTGGCTGCAGGTGCACAAGCACGGGCCGGCAGGGCTCCTTGTGGCCCTGCCATTCCAGTGCTGGGGAGAGATAGCGTAGGTGAGCTGGGGCCCGCTGGACCCAGAGGCACAGGGGTAAAGAGGGCCAGCTAAGGGCTGGAGTTACATCAAGGCCTACAGCAGTTGGTCATCCCTTTCTTGAGTACTGAGGGTCATCCCCTCCCTGACAGTCCTGCTGTGCCTCTAGGCCATGAGAATAATATCTTCCATTTCCTGAGTGCTTACGTGTACCCAGTGCTATACCAACTGCTTGGTAGGGACTGTCTCATTTAATCTTCATAATCCTATGAGGTAGGTGCTATTATTATTTTACAGGTAAGAAAAATTAGGTCTAGAGATATTACAAATCTACCTTAGGTCCCGTAACCCACAGGGGGTCAGTCTGATTCCATCCCCGAGTCCGTCTGACTCTAGACCTTCGTTTATTACTTCTCTGTTGCCTGAAATTCCAGTATCTGACACCACAAAGCAGCGGTTCTCAGGGATTTGGTAATCACAGTAGCCCCGTCAAATGCGGGCAGGGTCATGGGTCCTCTTCCCCATGCATCTATCACATTCCCTTTCTTTGGGATCACTAGGAGGAGCTGCAGAGATTGGGGGACTCCAGGTGGAACTTCTCTCTGATGCCACTGTGGCGTTTCCCACCTGCCCTGGCCTTCCCAACAGTTCCAGAATAGGGAAGCCTTTTCCTGAGGCTGCTGAGGTGGCGGTGGGGGGGCTTCTCTGAGATGTGTCCTCCCCACTACCACCCTGGCCAGCCAAAGGCTTACCTTCCACACCCTCTCTGAGCTTCTCCGACATGATACTCTTGCGGTCCTGGCCCTGGAGCCTCTTGAAACTTCTCCTCCGGAGCTGGGCAACAATCCAGGCGCCAAGCAGGCTGACTGGGAGGACAGGAGTGGGTGCAGGAGGATGCTCAGGGGGAAGGCAAGGGTCTGGGGAGATGGGAGAGGCTTCTTCCCCAGCTCTTTTCCTTGGCAAGGTCCCCTGCTGCCCCTACCTCCTGGATCTGCCCCCTTACTTGTCTCACATTGTGAAGCTCCCTGTGGGGAGGTGCTTTGCATTCCCGGAGCGGGTTTGGATAGCATCTAAGATGCCTGCCCAGCCTCCCCTGCTGCCATCACTGAGAACTTGTCCCAGCCAGAGACTAAGTTCAGAGTCCTTATACCAGAGGCTGGACTCACGCTGCCAGGCTACTGGTCAACACCCCTCCCCCCACCCCACCCCCAGCCTTGCCAAAGACTATGGCCCAAACTCTTGCCCAGAGACTTTTGCCCCAGCCTCGG